GTCGCCTCCAAGAAGACGGTTTACTGGACAATATTGAAAATAACATTCAGACTTCTCAACATCAATAAGTATGGGCGGCTAAACTTTCTGCCCGCATTCACTATACGTCTAAGTATGCATCGGGTCTTTTTTGGACCCGTGAGGTCGTGCTAGAGGCCTGTACCCCAGCATGAATGGGGAGATCCTTCAAGGGTGTTTAACCTCACTGATACAAGCTTAAATTCAGCCTGCATTGCCGCCGGCAGGTCAGCCTCTTTCGGGAGCCGCCGGCAGCGGAGTTACGTGGGTCACTACTCCGTACGCCCCGTAACATTGTACGCAGTGCGGAAATTGCCCGTTTGCAATCGTAAGGCATAAAGGGGGTGTCAGCCACCTGCAGATGGACGATCGACACGGAAATGGGTCGCCGTTAAGGGCAGGTCCTTGCTATTTCGCTTTCGCAATGCTGTGTCATTGGGCCAGTTTTAGAAACACTACGTCTACCGCGCGATACAACATGTTACATCTTTACTTCAGGTGAAAAAACGAAGTACGGACAGATTCTAAAAATTCATGTACTCGTAGGTAGCCTTGAGAAAATTGCTTCGGGTTTGAGTGGTCGAATACATAGAGGGGAGCCGCTCTTTGACACGATAATTCCACCCATCCAGTTCGTCAAGTGATGGCGTCACCCAGACTGTGGAATGCCGTCTGGATAGCTAAGCAATTTCACGATTGGTTGGTGGGAATACCTGGTTTGGGCATTTGTATACTATGCCCAGCAGGCTAACCTCTCGATATGCGGCCAAATCAGGATGGTCTCAGCATATGTGCAGATTCTTCAAAGGGAGGACTGATTAGACTGTATGATATGACGTAGAATATGGTTAGACGTTACATGCGGGGCCTCTGCAGCTAGACGATACCCGTGAAGATTGATCGCGGACGCCGTGTACACCGGCCTCCAAGCATGAGTAGTACGAAGACCTGGTCAATACTTCAGTTAGTCCTAGAAAGTACTCATAGATAAATATCACGAATCTGATTCTCAAGATAAGGAGCCAACTTTAAGATATATACAGGCAAATCGAAGATGCTCCCGAGTCCTGACCCGTCGCGCATCCAATGTTGTACAGCCGCCCACAACCTAGAAATTAGATCTTACACATTACACCGCGCATTCGCTGAGAAAACCCAATTTTGTCGCCTCCGTCTATCATTCAGTCTCATCCATGACGATCTCGGCCCTTTTGACCCGCCTCATCTTAACACCGCCCATCTTAGTCGCGCTTTCCTTGGCTCCGTCCTTTTTGGGTGTATCCTTCTTGGCTGCCTCCTGGGCCCCCTTTTTCTTGGCTGCTTCATCGTTGACTATGCCAGGGTTCTGGTGAAGTCCGCCTCGAGAAGCCCAGTATTGGTCCAGCTTTCGTACAATGTCGCCGACATCGCCGTAGGGCTGGAGCTTTGCCATCATGACAATTTTCTTCGTGATGGCGTCCACGGTGAAATCAGCCTTGGTGATTGGCACGGCGCGCCACCTGCCTTCCATAGGATCATTGAACGCCGTCTCCTTGTACCCAAAGTCACTCAATGTCGTCACGTCGAAGGCCGCCATCATCTGATGGTCTTCGTGGATAAGGTTGTGGCAATGGAACATGTAGACGCCATCCCACGGCGCATAGTGGGCTTCGACACGAACGACCTCGCCGACGCCGACCCAAACGACATCCTTCAAACCGGCTTCCTCGTAAGGCAGGACACCGCGATCGGTTGCCCACTTGCCAGTGCTGGTGCGGCTCAGGATTCGGAAGTCGACCATGTGGACGTGGACGGGATGCAAAAAGCCGCCGCCTGCACCGTTCTCAATCTCCCATATCTCAACCGTGCCGCGAGGGACGTTTGCCAAGATGCGGTTGGCCTTGTCGCTGAAGACGACGTCGTTGATTTTCCAGAGCTCGTCTTCTTGGTGGAACAAGTAGTAGTGGTCAATTAGGTCGGGGAGTTGAGGTGGGAACGGCACAGCGCGCAGCTCCCCAGGGACAAGGGACTTGTCTGCGACAGGCGTGGGGCTGACCACGAACTGCATGACTGGCGTCAAGTAGTCTTCGTCTTTTCCCTTGCCTTTTCTGCCCTTCTTGTGTCTCGACTGCGCTCCGATGTTGCGTTCATCTTCCGTCATCATGGTGATCTTCTGCCCAGCGAAGGGAGTGAAATCGAAGATAACTTCCCAGCGCTCGGCCATGGCTTGCGCGAGGTTCTTCGTGGTGACGGGGCTCGTGAGCAGGCCGGAGTCCGAGGCGATGACCTGGAACGGGATGGGGATAGGTTCTTCGTCCTCGTCTCCCAATTTGTAGAATGAGTAGATGAACGCTCTTGAGATTGCGGAATTGAGGAGGCGAAGGCGATATTTCCGAGGCTCTACAGCGAGGAACGGCCATGGCTGGCCGTTGACGTGGATGACGTCTCCCAGTAGGCCTTCAGTCTCCCCAGCCGGGGAAAATAGCTGGCCATCATCCCCGTATTGCTTTGACGTGATGATGAGCGGGATATCGTTGACACCGTATTCGTTGGGAAGGCCCAGCGCGTCCTCCGCAGGGTCATGGATGATCCACATGCCTTCCTGACCAAAGTAGTCATTCACGGCTGTCTTCAGCGAGTATTAGCTCTGTTATATAGTCCTGCTCGTCGAAATACCTACGATGTCGACAGCATGGTCATGATACCACAGAGTACGGCCGTTCTGGCTGTTGGGGTAGTAGTAGTCTTTGTACTGTCCTGGGATGATAGTGTCCTCTGCCCACCCATCCCACGGCGATCGCTGCAAGGGGCATTAGCATTGCCACCAGAATTCCGGGCCGCAGTCGACTCACCGTGTAGGACCCATGAAGATGCATGACACTTGGGTTGACTGCCTTGTTGGACAACCTCACAACCGTTTCCCGGCCTCTTGGAATTATGTATGTTGGTCCGGGTGACATGCCATCGTATCCTATGAGCGAGACCGGCCCTCTGTCGGGGTAGATCTTCTGTGTAAACGGAAGAATTTCCATCTCATAATAGTCAATAGGCTTGTTCGTGACTGGATTGTTGACCGAGCTACCGGGATGTCAGTGACGTCCAGCCGGCAACAGACCTATACCTACAACTTTGGCTGCTTTACCGGAGGAATCGGTAAAGGGAGCTGGAAGAAGGTCGTATACTCGGGGCTGATCCAGTCTGCCAACGATCCCCCAACCAGCGCCATCATGGCCGCTGCATGAGAGGTTCTGACAAACATCTTGAAGGACGACTGACTAAAGCTGGCAACAGGAAGAGGCAAACCGAAACGCCGCATTAAAATCTGCGCCTACCTGAAGATCCGCACTAAAATCATGGGGCGCCGACCTGGTTATAAGGCGAATCCATTGCACAAAATTTGGACGACCGTTTCTTATCAAGCAGGATGACATCTGCCCAGTGGCGTCGCGACGGCTTCCATGGTATGGTCGCCTTGGCCTACACGAGCGGGCCAGTCCGAACATACATGGCTGTGGTAGTATAGATGAACTCTTTATGTGCTGCGCTTAGACATCGTGACTCGATGTTCAGGACGGAATCTCAAGGGGCCGGAAGCCTTTTGTCCGCCTTTTAAGAGTCGGCAGTCCGACGGTCCCTTCCTGATAGGTGCAAGGGGTGCCGAGAGACCTGTCGGCAGGGGGGCACGGGTTACGAGGGACCTACTCTAATGGTTCAGATACGCTGAGGCTTTTGAAGCTTGCTTTCTTCAAATTCGATATCTTAGATGATGTTCGGAGTTTGGCCAAGTACGGACTGCCGTATTACTGCGAAAGCCGTCTCTCACTCGACAGACAGCGGCCATGCAGTACCCATGGTTGTTGTAGGGCTGTTGGGCAACCCGAAAAGTTGGTCCAACTGCCATTCCCGCAGGCTGCATTGCATTGCTTCCCGCGCCGGGTATGCGACAATATGCCTGGTGACGTTGGGTGTTTCCTCAGAAAACAACTTGAGTGGGCAACCCGAGGCAGCCGTTGTCGTTCATCTGAAGAGTCTGCCGGGAGATCGCCTGGAGGCTGGAGCAGTTCCCTGTTCCGCACGTGCCCGCACATGAGGTATCCCCGAAGACAAGACATCAGATGCTATTTCAGAACCTTCTTTGCGTGCGGCTTTTACCCAAGACGGGTGTGCCGCTGTAAGAACTCGGGCCTCCTGGAAGCGCCGGAGGGGACGTGTGGTGGCCCACTGACCAGAAAGACGTTGGTTATTGCTGACTTGGGCTGCTTTGGGGAATCTCAAGACACGGCATCCTGGACATTTCCTTTAACACATATGTACGTTTCGGCGAGGAGACAAACGGCATTTCGTCACTGTGGTTCTGGAAACATTCGGTTGCATACAGCCTCGAGAGCCGTCGGTCAGTTGACAGGGAGTGACAGCAATCTGACATGATGACAGCCCTCATCAATTGAGATCCACGAATGACCGACTTTAACCCAAGCGCTTGCGGCGGTAAATACACCTTCGTGGTTGGAAAATTGAAAAACCAAATGCCTCAAAAGACAATTGCAGACTCAGACGGTCCCTTGAAGCTGGGCAGATCGGCGCCCTCGTGAGGAACTTTCGGCTTCAGAGAAAAGGCCCCGGACTGGCGCGTTTGCTGATCTGGCGCAATCCTGCTCGCAAGCTGCCCAACCTACCCAGGCAAGCCTTGACCATATTGAGAAACGTATTGATAGCGAACCAAGAAAGGTTGCTGAGCTTCGGAGTCGGTGAGGGCGAGCCATCACCTTAAAAAAAATAAGAGCAGGACGCGGACCAAACCCAAAAGTGTTGCGGGGGGGGGAAACGAGGAAAACAAAGACCCAGCTCGGGCCCCCTTTCTCCACACCTCCGGGGCCCACATGTTTTCCGCGCCGTCGCCGTTCCTGGTCCGATGTTTAAAAATGTCAGGAAACGTCAATACGCAGCCACTTTGGCCTCCTAAATCGACCTTAGATGGTTCCCGTGGGCAAAAAGCAAAAGCAGGGCCTGACCGGGGATTGAACCCGGGACCTCTCGCACCCAAAGCGAGAATCATACCTCTAGACCATCAGGCCAGTTCCAACATCATCACAAGCGAGAGTGGGTTTGCTGTTAGCATTCAGACAGCAGCTTAAGACCCGTTGGAGACGGAAAAGAATCCGAGCTGCCTATTCCGGAGAACATGACCAACGCCGACGGCGACTGTCGACTCACCTGCGTTGTTGTCTTAGGTAAAAGTTACCCAACCCGTAGAGCGGGCATCATCATGTCTCTACTGGCCTGTTTGCAGGTGAGTCTGTTTCTCAATCAAGCTGGCTGGCCCAACGCCAACCTGGATGGACTCAACGTCTTAGCGCGTCCTGACGTCGTCTGGGGAATTTTGACTAACAATGGAGCCGTTCTTCTCAAAGGGAGGGCCAGATCAACCCCCAGATTCAACAACCGACGTTAGCGGCAACCGGCGTGACCGAAAATAACTCCATTCGCCGATTGACGACGCAGGAGCCGTCCGTGGAAAGGGCCGACTGCCGGGACGAGACATGGGGCTCTTATCTAGCCGTGCCAGCAGCAGCAGCAAGCAGTCGACCGGCGACTTCTCATCCAGCCGTGGTCGACGCGCGCTGCCTCGCTCAAATCATGCAGTCGGCAAGTCTCCGACAACGGGTGCGACGACATGTTGCTGACGTGTTGCCAACCACCCGTCTCACACGAGCCGCATTGAAAGAAACATCGGAAACGCGCCGCTGGAGTGGTTGCATACAGCAAAATGGAAAAGTTTCTCCCCCGAGGCAGGGGAGCCTGGACCCCATCAATCCCCGACAAACGGGGCCGAGACCGTCCTCCTGCGTGGATCCAACGCCGATACCCGCCCGGACCGGCTGTCGGCGCTCCGGAGAAGAACACCCACCACCGACCCGACCTGCCTCCCTGCCTCCCTATCATCCACTTCGCCGACAAAGAGCCAAGTTCGCGATCCACCGCAAGCCATCGTGGATCCACTCCTAGGGCACTAAAGCAGTATTTTCTTGGTCCCCGAGCGCTGAAGCTCGTGCCGGCATCATGGGGACGTCTAGCGCGCCCCGTTCCCCGCGAGATCGTGCTCACTGCCGCGATGTTTTGCGCTTCAGATCGCCGAGATGTGCCCTGTATGTGTTTTTCTTTTCCTCCTGCGCTTCTGACATGGAGGGACCCGGGCTAGAGACGAACAGCGGTTCAAAGTAACTTGTCGTCCCGTCCAAGAGCAAATTCGAATCTAAGGTCTAGATCGCCGTGTCACCCCAACAAACGTAAGGATTACCTTCCCCGGCCTGCTGCCAAGTTAGCGCCCCCCTTGTCTCCCCGATAACAAGGGCGCCAAGGCGGCTGGCGGTGCGGCTTCTAGAGCGGTATGCCCTCGAGACAGCCGTTGCTCCATCTTATAACCAGCCCATGTCACCTTCAGATCATACGCAAACCGGCACACCGCTTCGCAGCTCATCTGAAAGAAAGAGGCTTTTGTGAACAGACTCGTTCCTATCATCGTTTTGTGTGATTACTGACAGCCTCCCATGAGGCCGTATCTGGTATTTCGAAACCAACCTTCGGTATAAGGCACGCAGAAAACCTTTGCCACTTAAAGAAGAGAGTCATGGCAGCGAGCAAAGCCGGCTCGCTGGTAGCCAAGGTCCTCGGCATCGACCTAGAAGCCAGCACACGACATCAAACACGAGAACTACACGAACATGTCACAAACGATATCTCACCATACGAACCATATTATGAGGAAGACCCGACAGTAAAGGAATGGCTACTGGAGCACATGCCCACAAAGGATGGATCGGTCCGTTACGTCAAGAGCTTGTTTCCTTTCACGAGGTGGATTCTGAGGTACAACACTCGTTGGCTTATCTCGGATGCTATTGCAGGCAAGTAGCACTATGGCAATTCTATGACTGTCAACTCATACCCAGTAGGTGTGACACTTGGACTTGTGGTTATCCCACAAGCAATGGCATATGCTCTTCTCGCACGACTCAGCCCAGAATATGGCCTCTACACCTCCTTCACCGGTGCAGCCCTATACTGGCTGTTCGGAACATCCAAAGACATTGCAATAGGAGTAAGTCCTAAGACCAATATGGCTTCCGTCATACACAACTAACAACTACAGGCAACTGCCGTAGTCAGTCTCCTCGTCGGCAAAGTCAGCGCCAAAGTCCTCGAAGAACACCCCGGCGAGTTCGCCCCCGAAGAAATCTCCAAGACCCTCGCCTTCCTCGCCGGCGCTGTCCTTCTGGTCTTCGGTCTCCTGAGACTTGACTGGATCATCGAATTCATACCCCATGTTGCCATCTCCGCGTTCGTCACTGGTGCCGCCATCACGATTACCCTCAGTCAGATACCGTCTCTCTTGGGCATCGATGGCGTCAACTCCAAAGCCGCCGCATACCGCGTGTTTATCGATACCGCCCGCGGCCTGCCTCGCGTGAAGCTCGACGCCGCCATTGGACTGACAGCGTTAGTATTGCTTGCCCTTATAAAGTGGTACACCGAGCGCATGGCCAAGACGCAACCAAAGCGCCGAAGGATGTGGGAGATGTTGTGTTCCCTTCGCATGACCTTCACCATCCTACTATATACCCTCATCAGTTTCCTTGTCAACAGAGGACTGGGCGACGGTGAACACAGATTTCGCATCACCGGGACTCTCCCGAGGGGCTTCACCCATGCCGGCCCGCCGTCACTAAACCCGAAGTTGATCTCCGCACTCCTCCCGGACCTCCCCGCCACCGTGATCATCCTCGTAATCGAGCACATCGCGATTGGGAAGTCATTCGGTCGCATTAACAACTACACAGTCCAGCCTTCACAAGAGCTAATCTCGATCGGCTGCACTAATCTATTCGGCCCCTTCCTCGGAGCCTACTCTTCGACCGGGTCCTTCGGCGGCACTGCTATTCTCTCTAAAGCAGGTGTCAGAACGCCACTAGCCGGCATCTTCAACGGAGTTATTCTTCTCCTCGCTCTTTACGCTCTCACCTCTGTGCTTTACTATATCCCCATGGCAAGCCTAGCAGCCCTGATCATACACGCCGTGATCAACCTCATCACCTCCCCCGACCACATCTTCAAGTCCTGGCTCATGTCCCCTCCCGACGTGTTCATCTACTTCATCGGCGTATTCGTCTCCATCTTCACCAGCCTGGAAGACGGCATCTACGTCACCGTCGCCCTCTCAGCCGCTCTGCTCCTCCTGCGCCTCGCTCGCGCAAGGGGCCGCTTCCTCGGTCGCGTCCGCACCTACCGCCATCCCGACCGAAGCCTTACCGAGCACCACGATGTCGACCGTCACTCAGTGAGCAGTTCACAGACTCTCCACCACAGCCGGTCACCTCCATCCCCTAAACTCCCTGCACGAGACGTCTTTCTTCCCCTGGATCGCAAAGACGGTACGAACCCAGAGGTACACGTAGGAGAGCTCTACCCAGGCTTGTTCGTTTACCGCTTCACAGAAGGCTTCAACTACCTCAACCAAGCACAATATGTCGACCGGGTAATTGAGCACGTCACCCAATCCACCCGTCGCACGACGATTCCTCACTACGACCACCCTGGCGATAGGCCGTGGAACGAACCCGTCCCTGCTGCGACTGTCGAGACCGACTCAGAGTCTGCGGCCCTAACAAAACCTTTACTACGAGCCGTCATCCTGGACTGCTCCGCCGTCAATAACATGGACTCCGGGGCCGTCGAAGGCCTGATTGACCTCCGCAACCAGCTCGATCGCTGGGCCGCTCCGGAACCTGTCGAATGGCACTTTACAGGCCTGCAAAACCGATGGACACGTCGAGCCCTGTCGATGTCAGGTTTCGGGTGCCCTGCCCCGGGACACCTGAATCGCTGGGAGCCCGTGTTCACCCTGGCAGAGCTTGCCGGCCAGCCCCCGATGCTGTGCGATGGTGCATCGGCTACGAGGAGCTCAAAGGCCGTGTGTGTAACCAGCGACTCGGAGCAGTCATCTTCGACCTTGGAGGAAGGAAGCTTGGCTTATAAGGAGATTGGGGGCCGGCTTTTGGGCCCAATCACTGGTATCAATCGTCCTTTCTTCCACCTTGATCTTGCCTCAGCTGTTGAGAACGCGGTTAAGAGTGCGGCTGGGAAGGATCACCATCTGAGAGCGTTGGGTCACGGCGTGGGGAGTTACTGAGTCGAACGTAGTAAGACCATCTTCATCGCCGTCATTTTTGTTCATTTTAGAGATACTCCACTAGCGTCGTTTTCATAGATTGAAACAATGATTGTTCCTTCACATCAAGCTTTGAAGACCAGTAAGCACACGAGCAGTTTCGTTTGGAAACAGATTCATCTCTTCATAATATCATACTTCTAGAACTTCTACACAAAAGATCTAGACCACAGTCGTAAATACCTGGATCTTACTCTTGCTTCCCCATTTGGCCTCAATGCCTGGAGCAATAAAGTAGATGTGTCCAGCCTTGACTTGGAACTGCTTTCCGTCCGCCTCCAGGACACCTTCACCATCTGTAACGATAGCGACAGCAGGTCCCTCGCCCGGCTTGAGAACTTCGCTGGGATTCTTCTGATCCAAATCCGTCCGCAGCATATCGAACTCGCTCAGCGGCGGGCGGTACACCAGAGTCTGGCCCTGCGCACCTCTAGAGCTCTTCTCCCCAGGCAACATAACATCGTTCTTACTGTGAGCCTTGAAAGTCAAAGTCTTGCTGAACAAGTCCACATTGTTGCGGTCGCCGGGTGGACAGAAGCCAGTGTTGAGCACGTTGTTCGACCGCGCCATGCACTCGACGATGTCTCCCGACAGGTACGCGTGAATGCCGTCTGCGGGGATGTACAACGCCTCACCCGCCTCCAACGTCAAGAAGTTCATGCACAACAGTGCTACCAACGTTCCGGGGTCGCCCTTACCGTACTGCTCCTGTAGCCTTGGCAATAGATCCAGCACATACGCGTTGCCGCCAAGTTCGTCGCGGGGCGTGTCGGCAAGAGCTTTTGATGCCTTCTCGACGGTCGATTCTTCCGCCAACAGGATGCGCCGGGTGACTTCTCGCAGTGTCTC